ACCTCGAGTCCGATCTCCTTGATCCTCTTTTGACCTTCGGTTTAGGAGGTAGCGCAACAGATATTGTTCGAGTCTGCTATTATTATAAATTAACCGTTGCGAAATTCGATGTCCACGCAGTTCGGGTACATGGTAGCCATCGTCAGAAACGACGAGCAAACTATCGTTGTACATTCTAAGCTAGCGGTAACTACGATCTTGTCCACACATGCTGAATATTGCAGGTCGAAATGAAGCATTATGGAAAACGCTCCTTTTTTTCCAACTTCTCATGAAACCTGCGCTGAGCACCGGTTTGTATGAACCAGCCTCCGTTTTAACTTTTAGTTACGTCTTCCATGGTTTGATCATAGCACCAGTTGGGCTCCTTGTTATTGGTCAACATTACAATCTACGGTAGTAAACATCTGGCAAGTTCAAATTAGTTCCATCCTGACCTGTTTGTTTTTGGGAAGAAATATGGAAAATGCATGGGGTTGTTGTTGTTGTACGTCAATGGACTCCAGTTTAGAACCGTTTTTTGGCCTGTCTCTGACCTCCGTTCACAGCCTATGCGCGCTATCCTAGTTCTGGCCTCCGAGTGCAGTCAGATAAGTACTTGAAAAACTTTTGCAAATGATTTTGCATCCTAATCGCAAAACCCATGTTATATAGCTTTCGATGACGCACCTGTCCGGTTTCTTGTTTTGGTCTCATTATGTAATAAGACCAAGTCTACGCCGGCACATAATCCACAGAAAGCTTTCGCTACCCTTAAAGTGCTAAATATTCGACCAAGCGTAGGAAAGTTGCTCTACAATCCAGTTTAAATAACTTGCAAAAGTCAAACATGCTGCAGAAGTCAGAAAGAACCATGTCGTCAGCTCTCGGCCACTTTTGCGCTTTACTTAGTTGATCCGCCCTGAAGAACGTCATGCTTACTTTATTCTGTCTGAGAAATATATTCATCCTCTTGCAGAGGTCGTATGGTAGGCTGCGTGGCCTGTTCATACAGGCTTGGAGCCTTGAGCCCTTTTTGTGGATGGGCATGATATTTGCCAGTTTCGCGAAAGAGGCTTAACCCGATTTACCTTGAGTTCTCTAACCATTAAGCCAGCAAACCTTAGCGGGCAAGAAGATCTAGACGAAGTACAGTTCAGCCTCTTAGGTGTAAGTTGAGTTTAACCAACTTAAATGAGGGATACTGTAGACCAGATGTAGTGTGGTCGTTATCTGAACAAAAGTAGAGAGGAGTAAAATATTGTGGATTTTAAATAAAGACAGTAATATTACGATAGTCGACTGTCGCATCAGACGAGGCCCACCGTGTGCTATACAGCATGATGGTGCATGTATGGCAACTTGCTCGTGGATTAGTTTTAATTGATAGTAGACTTGTTTGGCATCTACTTCACTCTCCCTTACTTCATCCAGATGTAGCCAGTATCAAGAACAGGTCAGGAAAAAGGGCAGCAGGCGCAGCGTGAGCCTGTACCTGCGCTTGCCACTACAACCTCCCTCTCCTTTTCGGCATTGGCTATAAGAGCGCAACACGAATAACGCCAGCCGTGCCCTGATCTAGTCCACCGT